CCTTTCGACAGATTCATGAGGGTACTTACCAGCGAGTGTTCTCTGTGAGGGTCGAGTCGTCGTAGTTCACCATACGGCTGATGGGGTCGAAGACGACGTTCTCAAGGACGGATCCGAAGCGGATGGCGTTGTAGATATCGGGCTCCTTCTCGGCGGAGAGACCAATGCACTTGGCGTAGCACTGTGGGAAGTCAGTAACTGTGTTGCGATCATTGGTTTGAGGTCAAAACTTACGCCACCCTCGATGTTGAAGACACCGGTGTCGGTCCAGCAGTGCTCGTCATCACCGATCAAAGCACGGTTGGGGTCGGCAGACAGAGTGGTCTTGCCGGTTCCCGACAGACCGAAGAAAACGGTAACGTCGCCATTCTTGCCCTCGTTGGCCGAGGAGTGCAGGGTCAGGACGTTGTGCTTGACGGGCATCTCGTAGAAGAGGACGGTGAAGACACCCTTCTTCATCTCTCCGGCGTACTCGGTACCCAAGATGACCATCTCCTTCTCGGCGAAGTTGATGGCGACCGAGGTGGCAGAGGTCATACCCTCGGTGAAGCGGTTGGCGGGGAAGGAGCCGGCGTTGTAGATCACGTAGTCGGGGTGGAAGTGCTGCAGCTCCTCCGCCGAGGGACGGATGAGCATGTTGCGCATGAAGAGAGCATGGTAGGCACGAGCGCAGACAACGCGGACGCTGATGCGGTAGCGCTCGTCCCAGCCAGCGAAACCATCGATGACATAGATGCGGTTACGGGTGTTGAGGTAGTCGACAGCACGCTCACGGTTGATCCGCCAGACCTAAAGGGGGGGGAAGTCGATTAGCTAACCAGCCCTATGCAGGTGACGTCACACGTGACACCCCGACCCAAGGCAGACAGCGCAAGGGATCCAAGGATTCCAATGTGGCACAAGACCAGCAATCCGGCGTTGCACCGCAGACAATGACAGGATAATACCTCATCAGTTGGATATGAGGCATTTCCGGGGGATTGCGGTTGCAGATGCAAGTCAAGAAAGCTTGGTCATGGTGACACGCGAGGGCCAAGAAGGGAAAAAGTGGGCCAAATGCAAGGATGAACAATGCATTTTTAATCGCTCCACTGGGATAGTAGGAAACAGGGAAAGAACGTACATCAGGAGTCATAGGCTTGTTGACGGGTCCCCACCAGACATCGTTCTCTGACGATTCCTCCTTGACAACACGCTTGTCTGAGGGGGAACGACCAGTCTTAGCGCCAGAGTATGCCGTCAAGGCACCACTCGATGTGATAGCGGTACCGGTCTCGTAGACCAGAGCATCTTCGTAGAGGGCAGCAACCGAGGGGTTGGCAATCTAGGAGGGGCATTAGTATGAAACCGAGCTGAAGAGATTACCAGAGCACTTACAATAGCGACACGCTCGTAGTCAATGTGGGCGTGCTCGTGAAGCTCTTCCTCAAGCTCGGTGTGACCCTTGCCCGGCCTGGTAGAAAATGAAGAAGGTTAGTTAAGGTGTATAGCAGAAGGGCAGCGAAGTGAAGAGGATGATAGGAGAGCAGTGAAGTAGACGAAGTAGGAAAGGAAAAACATACTGGACACCACCAGGGTGCAGGGCAGTACGGTTAACAGAAGTGGCAACCATTTTTCTTAGCGAAGTAGAATGATAGTTATTGTTTCGTTGTTTTGCTACTTGCTGTTGGAAGAAATCTGAGTAGATAGGACCTGGTTCCGGGGGGGCATTGGGGGGTATATGAATGTTCTCAACAGGGGCCATGATCAAGACGGCCACGGTCGAAAGACGTTTCAATCTCCAATTCCCGCCGTATCTTCTCCACAGTTTCACGGAAGATGTCGGGGCAGAGGACCGGAGCTGAGGCGGAAGGGTTACGGCAAACAGGGCCAAAATGATGTCTCTCGCGCTCGTCCGAAAAGTTCCGAACCCCAGATGTGGGCACGAAGTGGTTCCGGGAACGCTAGTCGACCGCGCACCAACGAGAGCGCGAGAATCGGAAGAATGATTGATCGAGCTTCTTTTCGTCGCAAATGATTAACACGCGTGTCGCGAAGAAATGGCTCATGCAGGTCAGGAATTTTAGCGGGAATTACTTTTTTTTTCTTTTGGCCGAAAAGAAATGCCGTGGCTCGCAAAGGTTCAGTTGCAAACGACCTGTCTTTATGAACTTTCGGACATGGTTTGCGGCATTACACCATGTCCAAAGGCTATTATTCACCTACGCAACGACTCGCCCATCTTTTCAGACCAACAGGCGGACAAAAGGAACAAAGCGCGCGACGCAGGCAAAGTGATGACGTTGAATGATCTCAGAGAAGCCTTACCTAGCCGGGTCTGAATACTAAGAACCAATATTGCGGGGAGACAGTCTTCTTTTTCGGCTAGAGGGGGCCCAGCGACTATACCCGGTCAGGGAGGCTTAGAGTGAAAACCAGCCAATGATAACATGCGCCGCAACGAAAATCCCCTCCGGCGCTAGTCCCAGCCGGGCAATCTGTTAGTCATCCGCCACCCGAGGCCAGCCGGCGCGCGGCCAATCACGGGCGGCATCCCGTACTGATTTGCAATCCAACGTCACCGCGCTGGGCTGAATGTATTGCCGTCCTGCCTCGGATTCGGAGGATCAGGTTCTGTATGATGATGTGGTGGTGATGCGCTTTTCCTTTGCCCTGGTGCGTCCCGGCTGCGTGACGACGTGGAGCTGCAGATGACGGCGAGACAGCTCCCGAGCTGCCTACCCGTTCGGGCCATCCTGAAGTCTTCCACCGCGACCTTGTATACAATCTACCACGGTCAGTACGTTGGAATTCGACAGGCAAACCGCTCGGCACGCACATGACAAAAATCCCACAACTTGCCGAAATGCCACATGAATCTACTAGGCTACTCGACTTCGTACATTCTCGCCGAACGGTCAGGCGCCAGCCCCTGACAAGGCCCTCCGTCAGGTCAACTGATAGTTCTCGGCCAAGCATGACAGACGCAGGATACGATCCCTATCCCGGCCAATGGTGGCGCAGTCGTCGCGGAGGATACAGAGCTGAGCAGGTCCTATCACTAGTCCTACTGCCTACTGGACGGTATCTTTCGTCTGTACCCCGCATCCGACTAGACGCCGGGGCCACGCGGGCCTTCCCCAGATTAATACTAGCATTCTTGGTCTGGACGAACTTGGCTAAGCCGCCAGGATGAACAGTTGCCTCACGCGACTCAAGCGCTTTGTTCGTCAGGTATCTACAGGCTGTTGGACCTACGCGTAGTTCATACTCGATGTCCTCCGTGTCTGTACAGTACCAAAATCGAGTCGACACGAACACTTTGACACAGATAACCATCTACAAGGTCACTCAGATCCACAAATCGGGGAAGATAGGAGCATCCGAGGAGGGATAAGGCTGGATCACATTTTGCGTGCTTGACTGGTTGGCCCGGTGGCTGTGGGGACACTTAGGGTTCCTCGTCCGGGTGATTTAGGAAGACTGAAGAGGGCAGGAGGGCAGGAATTGAAAAACTTGTTCCATCACCATCCCAGGGCCACTGTTAATTAAAATCCCGCAGATGTGCTACGCTAGTGCATGGTCTAGACAATCCAGGAGGGGCAGAAAAATAGAGGGAACAGAAGTGAAGAGAACGGAAAGGGAGGTGTTTACTGTGCCCACGAGACAACTTTGGACAGGTACTGTTCCATAGGCAGATAGATACAAAAATAGACTGAGAACGTGGCCGGTTTCTTGCCACTGGATTCAATAATTACTCCAACTATTTGTGAGTTGGAGCTGGCCAGAGGCAGAATGGAAGAATGAGACATTCAGGTACATTCCATGAGATCCATCAACGCGAAAACCAAACATTTGCCTGAAACACCTCCGTTTGTCTAAGCCAGCGTCGATACCCACTTAACGGACTCCGGGCTCGAATCCCTTGCCGAGTCCCTCCTTCGTGCTTTTTTTATTCTTCGCAACCACTGTGACTTTCAAACAATAACACTCTTCCAATTATATCCAGCAATGATATCTCTGGGATTTCTCGGGATGACCTTCAGGTCAGTCATCCCGACCAGGTCTTTCCGACGGCCAGGATTGTGGCCCAAGTAAACCCGAGGGAAAGCATGGGCCACTTCCGAAAACCACCCTAATGCCCCTTTCGCCGGTGGAGACGAAAACAATTGAACCAATGTTCGTGTCGCTATTGACCAGGCAGGCCAATTGTTCGTTTTTCGTCGGACAGGGGTCTGCGGGATAAACACAACCCGAAGTATGTCGTTCTTTGTTTTCTAGCCTCGGGCAATCGCTCAGGCACTTTTCGTTTCTTACCCAAGGACCACGAAAGAGAAAGCAAAGCCGTTGAAATGACCGATCGCATCCGATAAATTCTCTCGTCATGTATCAACAATATTGCATACAGGCATATAATTATCTCAGCCCAAAAACCAGTCGAGGCCATCTCGGAATGCGGCAAACACGTGCTCCGACTCAAGGCAGATGCTTGGCCTCTTGGGTCTGACACGAGCGGCATGGCATGCAACGAACAGGGATATCTCAAGCATTAATCTGGATGCAGATTTCATTTTTTCACATCAACTCGAGCGACCATCCACGCAAAGGAGAAAAATATGAGACATACCAAAAGACGATATGCGATCTCTAGTAAAGTCAACCGACATACACATGTTCTCGAATTCTCGCTCTGGAGTCACTTGAAAGCCGCCTGTGGTATTATGCTGCATTGGTTGGTTGGTTGGTTGATTGATTGATTTCGTTTACCCTGACCCCTCGCAATAAAAAGTGATCGCTGGAGAGCTTTTCCGTATTGCTATTCTGGTTGATATCGATGAATTAATCGATGTCTATATTCGAAAATGTACATTTACATATCTACTGGTTTTTCTAGGAAGGGCAAACGCCTTCACGTTTCCATTTTAATGCTCACCCCTCGCCGCTATTTACTCACTGGGTATATATGACACAATTGTAATGGAGCTCCTTATAGCTGGCGACTATCCCGTCTGCGCCAGGATTTATCTGAATGTCGAGTTCTTTCGGTCCGTCTCATAGAATCCTAGAGTGCCTAAAGGACTTCCGATTGACTGATCTTCTTGCCGAAGAGTATACCCCTTCCCCTCCCACTTAAAGGTGCGATCGACTCCTTTCTCAACGAGCAAGTGAATCAAAGTCATGTCCCCCAGTTCAGCAGCCATGAACAATACCGGGGGCAACTTCTTTCCCTTGGAACCCCGAGGCAGTGACTTGCTCGTAATATCGGCACCATATTCTACTAAGACAGCAGCCGTTTTGGAATCTTCCTTCTCCAACGCTCTTTGCAGGAGCGTTTTGGTCATCCCCGGGTAGGGTTTTCTAGGATCAACCCCCTGCTTTAGCAGCATTTTCACCATCAGTAGCCTCCTTTTTATCGGTTTGCATTTGCACACCGCTGAGAAGAGCGCCCCTTTCGGGAACTCGGCGGTAGTGATATTCGGATCGAAGCCTTCGCGCCCCAGCAGCCGTTGCACAGTCTCCTGGTGGCCGGTCTCAATAGCTTCGATGAGGGCGTTGTACACCAGATCCTGTTCGAAATTTCCATACTCGTCAACGAGAAACTCCACCATGTCAGTCTTTCCGGTCCTGGCCATCCCGCGAATAGTAGCATCCATACGTAACCTTATCGTACTACTGGATCGGTATTTCATATGTTCTATCCACACCTCTAAGGCTTCGAAATTGTTGTATTGTGCCGCCAGAGAGAGTACGTCAGTTGAAAGACCGTTGTAGGTAAAGGTCATGGGACTGTTGCGTTTGAGCACCTGATTTATGTCTGTATTGCCGGTTCTTACCCCCAGCTCGAGGACCATCAAGCCCCATTGACTGCTGTACATCGCCTGGCCCAAACCTTTTCGGATCAGGTATTCGAGTTCCCCCGCATCTCCACTGTGAATCGCGCCACACGCCAGGAGAACCTCGCATGATTGATCGATGAATTGTCGGGACCGTCTGCCCTTGCTTCCCCACACCAGTCGTTCGTAGCCACACCTCATATAGAGCCTCAGCGATTCCGGACAGATTATGCCATGGGGTCTCAGAGAACAAGCAGCCACGCCGTTAAGCAGTCTCTCCACCAAAGCCTCTTTCTCTTCCGTGGTGGTGATCCCCCTCTTCTGCACCTGGTTGCCCAGCATGCTGGTAAAAGTGTCGCAAAAGCCAACGCAGTATGTGCGGTGCCCTTCTTGGTTATGTCGCTGCAGTTTCTGGCGTAGAATTCGGATCTTCAAATGATACGGAAATGCGTCCCAGCCGGGCACATCCTTTTTGTTGTCGTTGTCGCTGGGATCCCAGTGCCGTAGGTCACCGTCCTTGTCCTTATAACATCCGAAGCCGTCGGTCTCCAATCGAGAGCTCCTGGACAGGAATGACATGATTTCATCATTGAAAAGGCCTACCACCCGTTAGGCGCTTCTTTTTCATATCGTTATCAGGAGACGATCAAACCGACTAACTATTTACAAGACGTGCCCGGAAGAGGTCTTTGATGGGCAGAGCCTCCATCATGTCCCGTAGGATCTGTTCGAGAATTTCCAGTGGAACGCGCATTTTGAAGATGAATTTGCAGGAGGGTTGTCAAAATGCAGGGAATTCGGGGCCAGTTTTAAGATTTTTTTAGATTCCCTTTCTTTTTTTCGGGTCTTCGCCCCCCATGACTCAATGTCTGAGCTTCCGTTTTGGCCCCCACATGGGAAGTCGAGAACATTTGCATGAATCATATCATCTATCAAAGATATACACTATATTATTAGGATCTTTATTGCTCTTAACAAACTGTTAATTAAGTTTAAGTTGCTATGCAATTCTCCAAGGAACCCTCTCAGCACGACGATACCCTTCTGTTATCACTTATAGCAAGCGAACCCCTTTGGCTAGAGTCACTAGCCTTTAAATAATACCTCATAGGAGAAAACATGGTCAGCATTCTATCTAGTTATGTTGATGATGGACATCAGTCTATATGCAAAGTATTGTCACGGGATGCTCAGTAGAAAAAGTCACGATCACTGCTTAAATATATTTTCACCATCCGTACCTTAGTAGCTATACCCCGGTTGTGTCTAATTGCCTATCAACGATGATACTATATGCCTATTTTCATATAACCATACAAACAAGCAATAATTACGAAGGCTCCCGCTTATCTATAATAACAAGACAGACATCTGGTCAGTCACCGGTGCAGATCCTCAGGCACCAACCAAAGCGGGGCACGACAGCGCATGGCGGGGTCAGCGGACTGCGAGAAGTGCAATCACACACCAACAATTTCTAATTCTCTTCTTCTTCTTTTCCCTCTTTCTTTCCGTCGTGTGATCACTATTCAACTCTCTGCTTTCCCTTCCTATTTGACCTATCCAGTAAGTTGACCGTATACCACTCCCTGTGCATAAACATTTGCCTAACGCTTCACCTCCATAGACCCAACCACCAACCCCACCAAAACAAACAAAATGTCCGGCCACACTGCTTGCCCCTCCTGCAGCGCCCCCATCCCCGGGGAGACCAAGACTTGCGGTTCTTGCGGAAAGGTACATTTCCTGTCCTGGTGGAAAACCACCTTGATTGGAAACGAAGCGCTGACGGGAATACCTAGACTTGCCCTGTTTAAATGCACCAGCGGAGAGATGATTTGATTCGGGACGATCGGTGGATGGGAGTTGGAGTTTAGTTCGGTCGGCAGGGGGTAGGGTTTTGGGGGTCAGTTTTGTTTATGGACTTCTGGTTCTTTGCCAGAATTGTATTGATGATAACGAAGAAATTCACGAGATATCCACTTTGTTGAATTATCCTGCTACTGGAAGTACTCGGTGCTTCTGATCTCCCCCACCAAGAAATCCGCATTCTTAAATGGTGGAATTTCTCGTACCAAATTTCCCTTCATTCTATGACCTGGCTTCAGAATGGATCAAAGATTAAAGCCGCTTCGGGAGGCTGGTGCCTTGAACTTTCAGGCATTCAGATGCATACATAGTTGGCCCATGCGTCATACTGATAGCTTGAAGTTCATCTATTCTTTCATGTATGGAACGAGTCTACTATGGTTTATTTGTTATTATTGTACCTGAAAGCTATTGAGACGACTGTTTGATCCGTTTTATCGTTAACTTTCATATTGCATCATTCTTCGAAATGTGGAACTCCATCACGCGGCGAAGTTTCCATAATCCACTGGAACGCGTTCTGTATAGTGAACTGGCCCCAACACGACAATTAAACCGCCTGCTTTGGTAACCACCCCATCCAGGTACGGATCGCATTCACCACCACCAGAGCCCAATACAGCACGGCACTCCATAGGGCCGACGGCCACGACCGCTGGAAAAAATTCCCAAACCACACGCTGCGCCGCCAGTGTAGATGCGTTGCCACTGTAACTTGGTACTCCCATTCGTCGAGGCGTATGTCCCCCTTCACCAGGCGCTCCGTCAGACCAGCCTGGTACGCCGCCTGGTTGGTCGAGAAGGCAATATGTGGGCGCAGGAGCGCGGATGCATCCCCTACCAGAAGCACTTTGCCGTTCAGGAACGACGCCTGTGGCGAGCAGTGGTCGGTGATAAGATGCACGAACGGGGCGGATATCTTTCGCACGATCTCCAGGTAGGGTGGGGCGAGGATGGTCTCGGCGAGTTTCTGCTGGCGAGCCCAGATCTCGGGTCGGAGTCTATGTGGCGGGACTGTGATGCGGTGTTTATGGCCGGAGGTGTCGGTGAGGATCGAGTCGAGATGGGAGGTGTTCTCGTTGGAGTACCAGCAGAAGTTGAGCAAGCGTTGGCCCGGCTCTACGGATCCGGCTTCACCGGGGATATAGTACCTGCAGGGCGGACAGTGTTGCGGGTCAGTGGAAAGGGAACTGTCGAAGGGGACAAAAAAGAAGTTGAGCGGGGAGAAAGGTAAAAAGTAAAAAAGAGCTCCCTTACACAATGACATGCGCGCCGTGGGATTTGAGGACGGAATATGTGATGTTCTTTCGGAAGATATGCTGCGTCTCGTCGCTGACCTCGCTCTCTCGAACCACACCCCTCCAGGCTACGTATCCCGCATATCGTCGAGCCACCGCATTCTTCTGGTCGAGGAATGCACTTAGGACACAAGCATATGACTACTGGCAGAATCAACCAGAAAGGAGTTCGGTCCGTCTGCCCCCAATACCAAGTCGGCCGTGTGATGGCACGTTGCGCCGGTGGTGGCATCGACAATCCCTGACATGTTGCCCCGTAGGATATTGTGCTCTGGCTCGGGCCGAGTCCCCCTCTAGCGGCAAGGGTCCAGGAGCATGGCTGACATATTCACTAGATAGGCCGTCATAGTTGGCACGCAGGCGGAAGTACAGGGCACCCCAAGAGGACATGATCCTGGTAGCGTACAAAAACGGGTGTGGCTGGCCATTGGAATCCAACGATTGAAGAAGCTCTGAAGGAATTCCCAGACTTGCAACGTCTTGGACACAGTCGAACCGTGATAAAAATTGCAGCACGTCGGGTCCCAACGCCACCCCTGCCATGTGGGATACGGGAGTACTTCGTGGGGATTTTTCCAGAATCCGTACGGAGCATCCGAGACGGTGCAGGATGATGCCGTGCAAGAGGCCGGAAAGCGATCCTCCGATCTGCTCATAGTCAGATCGCAGTCGTGCCAGATAATCCCGCCTTTTCTTCCGGTTTTCATTTATGGAGGGGATTGCTTACGATGATCACATCCTTGCGGACTGGGGCCAAGCCATGAAGAGACGACATTTACTGGTAGATCACGTAAGAAGAGAGCTGCTTACTCAAGAGCCAAGAGAGGGAAGCACGCGGCGAGTGGAAACCCCTGAAGCCAAATCATGTATTCCGCCACCATTTTATAGCTCGGCCGCTGAGAGTATCCCCTGGGGATTGAGGAGGCAAGCGTGAGATCAAGGAGGTAAGACTCTCATGCGGGGGCCATATGCATATGCATGTCTTATCACGCTGACAAGCAGATGATGTGGATTGTCTGTGGGCGCAGTGCTTTATTTAAGTAACTGCTGGGGCCCATAGACCCCCCTTCCCTTTTCAAGAAGGACAAATACTTTGCGGCCCAGCCCATCCCCTCACCATGTCTCGCTTTCCAGCCATCCCCCCGCAAGAACGCACCGCGGCTCACGATGTAATCGAAAATGGAGTTGCAGAGGTATTCTCTAAGGTGCCGTCCCACATTGAATGGAAAGGGTCCTCCGGAACGATCCTGGGTCCGTACTCGCCTCTCTTGTAGGTGACACCCACACCGTCTTCTGTAAAACCGGATTACAAACAGTCTTACGCAATGAATCTAGATACACGCCCGAAATAGCAGAGCCGTGGTTCAACCTAGCGTTGACCGTGACTCGACAGCAGCGGCTCACGCTGCGTGAGAAAGAACTGGCCATACTGGCAGTCCTGGCAGAATATGACGCACCATACGTGTTGTACGCGCACTCCCAAGTGGCTACTGCGGTGGGGCTGTCCCAGGAGCAGGTGCAGCAAGCCGTCGATGGCGAAGTACCGAATGGTCTTAGCGAGTCCGAGGCAGAGGTGTATAGCTTTGCGTTGAAGCTGGCCCAGTTGCGAGGCCCAATGGACAGTGCAGTTTTTGACAGCGCAAAGAGTGCACTCAGTCGTGATCGAATGGTTGGTTTGGCCCACATTGTTAGCGGGTTTATTTATGTTTCCATGTTGTGTAATATCTCGAACGGCGAAGTTCCTGTCGCTGCTGAGGGTGCGTTTGTTGCGAAGTCAAGACATTGGCAGTAGGTCGCGGAGATCAAAATGGGCCTACCCTATTCAAATATCTCTCTATATACATAGGTATCGCCTGATCAGGCCGCAGATGATTGTAACCGTTTCTTCCACTCAAGAGCAATTGTCAATCCTAGTTCATGCACCGAACTATCCCCCAAAATGTCAAATACGGGCACATCCACGGCGAATTCCTTTAGAATCCAATTCCGGAGGTCTACTGCTGTAAGTGAGTCCGCCCCGGCGACATGCAACGGCACATCAAGATCTAACTTTTCTTTTGGGGTCAGACTGGTACGGCAGAAGCGGCCCGCTACTGTATGCACAATGATTTCGGCTGCTTCGGCAACGGATCCAGCCTGACTGAGGGACGCTTGAGTATCAGCCTCTTCTGCTGAACGCTCGATATTGCTGGTCTCGGGGGCGGAGAGGGCGAGACTGAGGCTCCAGGTTGGATGGAGAAACGCCGGACTGGGGGCTCTATCAGCCGCCCGGGAAGGACGAACAATCCCGGTGATTATTTGGGGAGATAACCGGCCGCTCAGCGCTGGGTCACAAATATAGTCGAACAAAGCGAGGATCTCGGCTTCCGATATCGGCTCATAGAGGTTCGTAGACACCAGTCTGTCCACTAACCCTTGTCTTTGTGAGAGCAAGCCACCGGTGAGGAGAATCCCCAAGTCAATGGAAATAGCATGTTCGCCCTGAGATAGGCGATAATGGGCTAGCGAGTCTTGGTACGTGCTGGCCGCAGCGTAATTGATTTGTGTGGCCTGGCCCAAAATCCCAGTTATCGAGGATGTGAGGATGAAAAAATCCATGTCGCGAGGCAGAACAGAATGTAAGTTCCAGGATCCGGTAACCTTGGGGTCAATTGCAAGATGCCAGTCCTCTAATGTCATGTTCTCATACATGATATCCTAGTTAGTTAGCAACTGGGCATTTCTATCCATTCGATGCAGCTCATTCAAGCTTTGCCGATGTCAAAACGGTATCCTGCGAGAGTTGTAGCCCATTCTTTGTCACCCAGAGTCTATCGATGGATGTGATTGCTTGTGTTGGTACGCTGCAAGCGCCATCTGACATCAATGTCACCAATGTTAGCTGAAACATTGCATCCAATGTCGCCGGATGAATCACGTAGTCAAGATGCACCGGGTCGAGACACAGTGGCCGATCTAGACAGATGGCCGTCGTGGCATGACTGGCGCTGTCGTGGTAGGTATCTTGAATTCCTTGACATGAGGGTCCGTAGTAGAATCCATTGTCTTTGAACGTGCGGTAAACGTCTGGCGCGCTCATCTTGTACCCACATGCCCCATCTCGAGCATCCCAATATCCTCGTTGGCACTGTGATAGGGTCGGGTTTATACTTTCGCCCGTTGAATGATGGGCCTCGATCACACCCTCACAGTTCAGCGACTATTTCTCCCCGGAAACGGAGAGAACTTCAAAAAGCCAGCGAGATGAAATGCACCAGTAACAGATGATACCATAGGAATGCTATCTTCTGTCATTGCTGGCGACTTCAATCCGGAAAATAACCGCAGGCAGTCATTAGCAATGTATCTCATTTCGAGAGAATGGTATGCCACTCTGGCACGCAAACGGTGCACAAAAACATTATCGCAGAGAAGGACTTGATGCAAAATTTGAACTTCGGATTCCGGCCCTGAGACTGTAACGTTATGTGGACTATTTACGCAAGCCACGACAATGGAGCACTTGCTTTGGCTATGCAATCGCCCTGGATAAGGCTTGATCTCATCAGCTGATAATCCGACAGCTAGCATTGCTCCTCTCCTTGCATTTTCCTTGCTGAGTCGCATTACGCAGGTTCCGCGATAGTATGCTAAGAGGAGTGCCGACTGTCGGGTGAGAATACCAGCAGCGTATCTGAATAGCAGAAAACAAGATCGGTCACGGTTGGCAAAACTATATTAACTAAAGAAATTTAGGTGCTGACTTACGCGGCAGCAATCTCGCCCATCGAATGCCCGACAACAGACAAGGCACGACATTGAAGGATTCCAGAAGGTCCACGATCCCTATCTGGAGGATGGCAGTCAATGATTGCGAGATATCGGCTGCATCGATGCTTGATTCGTTTTCGTCCTTAAGCATCTCTTCTCGGACGGACCATGAGCATCCTAATTCACGATAAAGCGCTTCCGCTTCATCCACTACGCGAGAAAACCTCTCGTAAGCTAGAAGCTCCCGGCCCATGCCGTACCACTGTGCGCCCTGACCCGTAAACGCAAATGCTAGGCGAGGGGCTTGACTCGGGGTAGATTGCGTTTGGGGCTTTGGCGCTATCTGCTGAACATCTACTAACTCCGAAGCAGATTCAACCACCGCGTACGCTTTCCACGCCATTATGCTTCGTGGCGAGTCGAGTATATATGTGACGTTACTCAGCCATGTAGGATCTTTGTGCTGGCAAGCTCTCCGGAAATATTCTTGCCATCTAACGAGAATTTCCTTCAAAGACGCCTCGCTATTAGCTGACCACACGAGCAATTTCGGGGTATTTGACAGCCCCAACGATTGATGAGGGGCTGTGAAACCGGAATTTAGATGTGGAGCAGTCAAGAAGCTATTTTCCAATGCTTCAGAGGGTACCACGGCGGTCCGGTGATTACCAGATAAGCCGTGCCGACGAAGATAACTGTATGCATCATCGAGAACAATGTGACAGTTACTACCGCCGTATCCAAATGAGTTGATGGGCACTCGCCGGATGTCGCCTTCAGGCCAGGCAACACATCTCTGAGGAAATTCGATACAAGAATAGGCAGCAAGCCTGGGGTTCAAACGCTCGAAGTTGGCATTTGGGGGAATCACGCTACTCTCGACGACTATAACAGACTTGATAACGCCAGCTATACCACTAGCACCCTCCAGGTGTCCAATATTAGTCTTTACAGACCCAACATACAAAGGGCTCAGTGCAGTGCGGTGGCCCTGGAAGCAATCAAAAATCGTGCCGACCTCAATCGGATCACCAATTAGCGTTCCTGTGCCATGAGCCTCGAAAAACCGAGTATGGCACATCGAGAGGCCAGGCGTAGCCAAAGGATCCAACCTTCCACCATTACAGTCAAGGGATTTTACTGGCTGTTGGCACCTGAATGGTAACAATGGGCGCTTGAACTATTGAGTGGCTACCACCATAGACTTTCCAGTTGCTGCAGGGGCAGGGGCAGCAAACAAAAACAGAGAAGCTATAATATTATATGCAGCAAGGCGTGTTTTGTTTCTACCTATCCCATTCTAACCATGTACGTTTCAGTTGGCAGTAGTATACTCGTTGATAGCCCCATTTAGAAGCAATCCACTTCGCAATTTCATCCCACGGTAGCCCATACTGTGAGCTCGATTCAACCGCTCTTGTAGCTACGCCTCCCTCCCTATTGTGTTGTGTCCAGTCTGCTTGGGTTATAAAGAGACTGAAATCTAGTCATTTTTTCTAGTCCAAATCATTTCTTCGCCGACGAGGTTCCATCGCTCACCATGAAAACTATCGAGAAACCCCAGTCCCGCCAGCTCAAGTCCATCTCGTGGCTTTTGCTGGTATCTTCGCTTCTGGCAGCTTTATTTCTCTTTGCCTTGGATAACACTATCGTGGCCAATGTGCAGCCCAGTATTATCGATACTCTAGGGCACATCGAGAAATTACCATGGATCTCTGTTTCCTTTTCTTTGGGGGCAGTAGCTACCAACCTTCCTTGGTATGTTTTTCATTCTTCTTCCTCATCCTCCGGCTGGGTAAGTAGGGATTAACTTTTATGGGTATACAGGGGGCAGCTGTATAGTCATTTCAACAACAAGCTTTTGTTCATTGGAGGAGTCGTGATCTTTGAAGTCGGCTCTGCAGTATGCGGTGCAGCGCCCACTCTTGATGCTCTCATTATTGGACGTGCCATCTGCGGGATTGGCGGCATGAGCATCTATCTGGGCACAATCAATATGGTGTCAACATTGACGACCGAGACTGAACGACCAATCTATCTTGGATTAGTGGGGTTAACTTGGGGAATTGGTACAATGTACGTTACGGACACTTCTGACTTTCGGCAGCATTCAAAGAGCCAACTAAAATCCTTACCTAGACTTGGGCCTATTATCGGCGGCGCGTTCACCGACAGCTCTGCCACCTGGAGATGGTCCTTTTATATCAATCTCTGCATCGGAGGCGTAGCGGCACCCGTTTATATTTTCCTGCTTCCCGAATCAAATCCTCGTCCGGGGCTGAGTTTTCTCTCCAGAGCGCGCGATTTGGACTTTGCAGGAGCCATCCTCAGTGCCGGGGCCATTGCCTCTCTGATTATGGCCGTCTCGTTCGGAGGGGCCGTTTTCGCCTGGAATAGCGGGCAGATCATTGGGCTGTTTGTCTGCACCGGGGTGCTCTGGATATCATTTACTATCCAGCAGATGTTTGCTCTGCTCACCACCCCAGAGCACCGGTTATTCCCCGTCGACCTCCTCCGATCCTGGGAAATGGTGGTTCTGTTTGCACAGATGGCCAGTGCACAAGCTATTGTGACGATCCCCATCTACTTCATTCCATTATTCTTCCAGTTCGCGGAAAACGAAGGCGTCCTGGGCAGCGGCGTGCGTCTGCTTCCATTCGTCCTCGTCCTCGTGTTCGCCGTGATGCTAAACGGAGCCCTCATGGCGAAAGTGGGATACTATATGCCTTGGTATGTCTTGGGCTCGATCCTGGCTCTGATCGGCAGTTGTCTGCTCTACACGATCCACGTCGGGATGCCATCTCGCAACATCTACGGTTTCTCGGCTCTCACGGCCTTGGGGGTTGGACTCTACTCGCAGGCCGGATTCGCCGTGGCCCAGGTCAAAGCCGCGCCGCAGCGGTTGTCACAGGCGGTGGCTTTCATCGGCGTCGGCCAGGTCGGCAGCATCGCGTTGACGCTTATGATCTCGAATAGCATTTTCATCAACCGTGCCACGCATGGCATTGCGCTGGTCTTACCGCAGGCATCCCGCGATGCCATCCAACAGGCGATCTCCGGGGCACGAGGCTCCTTCTTCACCACTTTGTCGGCGACAGCGAGGGCTCGAGTTCTCGAAGCGATTGCGGATACCATCTCGGAGGTCTTCATCATGATGATTGCTGCGGCAGGGCTTTCATTGATCTTGGCGACGTTCATGAAAAGGGAGAAATTGTTTGTTGCGGAGGAAGCCAGTAAGAACAGTGCCGGGGTCGTTGGCTAGAGCTACCCACACATTGGTGAAGTCACGCTGCATTAGAGAGTCTAGTTATATCTAGAACCGATATTATTGAATGGATGATTTGAAACCCTGTCTCCTACTACACAGTACCTCGCTTTCCACCTACTCTATGCGTAGAACAGGTCAGGCTACCTGGCCGCTCAGCCGCACATGGAGCTTGCTAGGCCGGTTCAGGCAGGAACCAGGTATTTTGGTTCTCTCCACCCTCTAGGTTGGTTGGCCATTGGGCTGGAGGCCAGAAACACACTTCTTTGTTGCCTTTGCTGCGCGAGTCAGGCTGGCCCGGGACTAGCAACGCAGAGCCCCGTCTCACTGGGTATAGGCCCAAGACTGTGTGATATGGACCGGATAGCCGCTGAAAATTCCAACCCTGATCGCTCGGTGGCTTTGCGATTCTTTGTTGTATGTTTTTTTGCTCTATACATAGATGCAGTAAGTATAGGCTGGCGGGCCATTGCAGATCCCGGGGGCCAAACGTTACATCGTGGCGTTGTTCCCACCCAAACAAACATGATCAGCGACATCAACTCACCTCAGCCTTCAGTTCCCTGATAGATAACTAATGCAGGTAGGTGCTAGAGTCTCCCATATCTCCCATAGGCTTATCTGACTGTATAGTGAGGGGTGCGGGGGAATGTATGTATATAAAGGAGGCAACTTGTCATAAACGAAGTACCCAAACACAAATTCATTTGTCCAATACTCGCAATTATCCGTGCACTATGATCATCAATACCCAACTCGATGGTGTTGCCCTCGTTGTCGGTGTTAGTGTTCCCCCCTCTCCCCAGCTTCCTTGATCGCTCGCGCGGCGTTCTGCCCATACCCCGAGACCGATGCTGACAGAATCCACTTCTCTAATCAGTCCGGACGAGGAATCGGCCAACAAGCCGCCTTCTCTCTGGCCGAAGCCGGCGCAAAAGTGGTCGTATTCGCGGACATGAACGAAGAGACCGCCGAACAGTCCGCCGAAGAAAGCAAGAAATATGCCTCGAACAAGGACTACACGGCCACCACGTTCACCGTGAACGTCACTGACGCGCAAGATGTCCAGGAGATGGTCGACTTCGTGGTTAACACTTTTGGACGCTTGGATTACTGCGTGAATGGAGCTGGGGTGGGTTTTCTTTTTTCCCCTAACCTATCTATCTAATCCCTTTTTACTCCCCGTTCTAGTTCTAGGATCTATACCCTTCCTTTTCCCCTACCATGACCTATCAAATATCTAACAAATGAACCTCCTCAAGATCGACAACGGCATCCTCACCCCCTTCTCAGAAACCGACATCGATAACTTCGAGCGCATCATGAACATCAACACCAAGGGGATGATGCTCTGTGTCCGCGCGCAATGCGCCGCCATGCGCAAGCAGACCCCACGACAAGTTCAAGGACGTAACGGTATGCGTGACATCGGCCGCGGAGCCATTGTGAACATCGCGTCTGCGAACTCGTTCGCCGGGTTGCCCGGGAAGATGTCTTATACCGTGTCAAAGCATGCGGTTATGGGGTTGACGAAGATGGCTGGTATGTTCTTTTGTTTCCTTTCTCCCGGAGGTTGCTTTGCCGTCTATATCATCCTTCATATAAAAGAAGGAAACATTGAAGCAACGAACGAAAGAAGGAGAAAACAGAAACGAAGACCGAGTATTAACGGATGCCATTCAATCTAGGCCTCGATCACGCCCCCGAAGGAATCAGATGCAACGCCGTCTGTCCGAGCTGGGTCCGTACGCCCTTGCTGGACGTCGAAATGCAGAGTAACCCCCAAGTAGCGGCGCAGATCTCGGCGATTGTGCCGATCAAGCGCGCCGCGGAGAGCGACGAGGTGTCGGATACGATTGCCTTCTTGGTGAGTCCGGCGGCGAGCTATATCAACGGGACGAGTATTGTGATTGATGCGGCGGTGACGACGACGGTGAGGCTTTTTTGATCGAATCTGAGATAAGTCGGGCTTAGAGTCTTTTTGTCAAGGCCTCTCTGATAAGTAGACTGGAGGACTGCATGTTGAAATAAGAACCTAACAGGCAATCCATGACACTCGGCACCGAGGAACAAGTAGACGTAGATATAGGGCTCTTGCAAAGTAGAAAATTAGTCTTCGCGAATATGCAAACGTCAAGTGTCAACTAAAAATGTGCCATTCCCATGATTATTTCACTAATATATTCATAGAAAGAGAAAATAAAAATAAAAATTTATGCCGCCAAACTGTCCTAAGTGGAAGGCACGCCAAAATCAGAGCAAATCCCTGAGTCATACCCATATCCCGTCTTTTGACTCACTCTTCTCGAGTCATTCATCTCGACTTCGAACCACGAGGTCATCGGCCATCTTGTCGATTCGACCATCTAACCCATGTAATATACAAACCGGCATAAATCATCAATCCAAATCATCCAATGTCGGTCTTTACTCCTACCCCCTTATGCCTCACGTTTATGCGGTCTTCTTCCACTGCGACACCACGCCGATCAAACTGCTGATCGTACCAGCGATACCGACAAGGCCGTCGTCGAGCGAGATCAATCCCAGAGTAGAGGCGGGGATGGCCAAGTCGCACACGTCCGAGATGAGCTGGGTACGAGCAGTCGAGCGCTCCCTACATCCATTTCGTTAGCACACTCTAATTTGCACAGGCACAAGACACCAGGCAGGGAAACCCACTTCTGCAACTTCTTCGCCTCCACAACACCCTCACCCTCCTTGAGGTCAATAGTCTTCGACTTCTCCTGCAGTCTCCAGATAGTGTAGACGCTGGCAATCGAGCTGCAGACCAATCCGGCCAGCCAGCACCGGTAGGCGTTATCCGACAACCGCTTGGCGGAGGCCAGCTTGCGGATGCCAATCACGTCGATGACCTGGATGCTGTCCAGGGTCAGGTAGCCGGCGTATCCGAGCTGGCGACCGACGGCCAGGTAGCGGAGGACGGGGTCGACGGGGCCCTTGTTGTCCAGGGCGACGGCGGCCGCCTTGAGATGCTCGATGAACTTGCCGATACGCAGGATCTTGCGCGTCGTGCCGAACTGCTTCTTCACGGCATTGTAGGGGTCGATGGAGGCCTGGGGCCGGTTGGTGCGGTACAGGTACCAAGCGTAGAAACGCGAGAAGTACTGCAGGGTGCGCAGGATCTTGTCACGGCCGACTGCATTTACAGAAGTGAGTTAGTCTCTTGTCGTGCGGGATGAGGGTTGGCGCTGAGGTCGGGGATGGGTTGTGTTTTCTCGTTGGGTTTATTTTGGTGCGCGGAAGACAATCGGCCGAGTAACCATGTCTTCTGCGTGCTTGATTTCTGCGCTCTCCGACGCGAAAACGAAAGCAAAACGGGAAAAAGGAAGAACCCCACGTACCAGTCGTCGCGACAAAACGCAAGTAGTGTGCCAAGGCAGGGTGATGGACCAGAGTTTCGGCGACCATCTTGGGCGATTATAGATCTTTTGGTTCGAGGGAGGTTCGTGAGTTCAGTCGTGCAGAGTCCGGGAGCTGAATTCCGCGGGGAAGGTAGAATAGACGGCGAGAAGCGACGATGAGACGGTAGGATTAAATGACAGCCCAGCTGGCAAGTACCGAGGAGTAGATGGCCGACAGATGGATATGGTTGAGGTACAGATGGAGATAAGGAAAGGAGATGGGGAGAGAAAAGACGGGGGTGGAGAGGGAGCGGGAGATGAATGGAAGGTCGGTAATTGATGAACCGTCGGCGATCGCTTTTCGTGACATCTGCGAACCTCGGTTGCTCTGCTTCCGGGAATGTGGCCCGCGGACTGCCGTTACGTTCTACGGGCAGTGTCTATCAGAATTCTATTTCAATCATAAAGGTAAATCTATTACAATTTTCCACCTGAGATGAAGCATGACGCAACCTCGTCAGAGTGACTGACTCCGAATCAGCACAACGGAATTCTCTCGGGCATCTCGGGGATTGTACGGCTCGAGATAAGCGATCCGACTGAGCGTGCAGTCCCACCTAGAGACCAGGTCTACCATCTAAGATCTACTCCTTATGATCTATCCCCTTCTTTGGTACTCTACGGGCAGGCGGAAGAAACTACCTCTTTAGGACAGCGCTTCCCTCAGGCCGCAACCTGTTTACACTGTTTGGTTGGAATCATGTGACACAGGGCTTTCACATGCTAGGCACGTGAAGAGCCGTCCATTCGGTTTGAGGATAAGGATACATCATCAACATCAACATCAACATCACGGACATGACCAAATCCCTCGGAATCTTCATGATATTTCAGATCCAGGTCGCGTCTGTCTTTTCTACCAGTCATCTCGCTTCCGGGCAATACTTCTTGTCGCTTGGGGTCCCCGTCCTTGGTGTGGACTACTACTGAAAACATTGTCGAGGCAAATCTCTCATTCTCGCCGTGTCGCTTCTGGAACTCCGCTTCTGGAACTTCGGGGTTGACGTCGGGTAGATGTCGCAAGGGTTATCCGCAATGGCCGCAAGGGGGAAATCATCGGTCTTGTCGCATGGAATCACCGCAGGTAAATGTCGCAAGGGGGCTGGTTTTTGGCGCTGTATGGGCGAAATAGTTGAAGGGATGACAACACAGGCGCAGCAGAGAGGTCGGCAATCAAAGATGTAGCCGCAAAAACCGACTATTGCTGCTCTCTGTTGCCCAGGGTCGTGGTGTCGTATCCATTGGCTTCGAGGAAGGCACGGAATTTCGCGTCTTCCTCGCCGATGGTTTCCTAGGCCGTGTCAGTCCGAGACGGTCTTCCACTGGCACGCGACCGATGACCGATGAATGAGAGACGCCATGGAATAAAAACTCTTCACATACCTGCGTAATCTGGGGGAGAAGGAAGAATGCCAGCGCAGCACTGAAGATGCACAACGCGCTCGACACGAAAAACGGATCCTGGCCAGAGCGAATCTCGTTGGGGGCATTATTCTGGATAATGGGTATCACATAGGTGCCCACAAAAGCACCGATCTTACCCGCCGCCGCCGCGATTGCATAGTACTGTCCTCGGATAGCCGTCGCGCTGGTCTTTGCAGCACACAGTCCAATGTTGTCACCTGGTCCGAACTCACCGAGAGCTGAGAAAATACTAGGCTCGAGAGTTAGAGACACATACACTTGACCTCGACGGAGAAACTTACCCGAATACTACGACAAATGCCGCAACGTTCTGGGGGGTGGCAAGATATTTATAGCAGCCGGACATGATGAACCCGATGATACCTTGCAGGCCGACACCAAGAGCCAGAGTATTGCGAGGCCCAATCCAGTCACTCGCCAATGCACCCAGGAAAGATCCCGGGATATAAAAGGCGTTGGTAACCGTGGTCCAGCCGAAGGACTTCCACAACGGAGCGCTGTCCCCCAAGATAATCGCCACCCACTTTGAAGAGTAGATGTTGAAAGAATAAGCCGAGAAGTCGTAGATAAACCAGATGAGAGAGACGACAGTCTATGCCAATTAGTAGATTGATTAGACAACAATCAGGGGCAATCGCACCAGGCGTTTCCAGTAGAATCTAGAACAATTGTTAGGCAACAGATAGGATCCAAGGCGACCGACGAATACTCACTTGACAATCAACCAAATGGGGAACTTGTGCATGCGCTCCTTGTCAAACTGCTCGGGCTCGTTCAACTTCAATCGCAGATAGAACAAGCTCAAGGGCGGAATCACACCCAGCCCTAACGCTATACGCCAGACCGCACGCAGATGATCTTCCGAGAAGATCAGCACCAAGATCATGGCCACCAACGCAGACACGACGTAGGCGAAGTCGATCTGAAAGTTGCTGAACATGATGAACCACCGATTCCGATGGCCGCTCTTCAGTTCGTTTGTATTCTCGGCTGCAGCCACGGAGCCGGCAGGATACTCGCCACCGATTCCAATACCCAGAAAGAATCGATACGCAGTCAGAGCGGCAAACATGCCGTAAGTACTACCATGAAGTCCGTAGGAGCCCGCACTCAAGGCACCGAATAAGATCAAAATAATTGTAGAGATCATCAGGGACCATTTGCGCGACCAGTGATCGCTAAGGTATCCGAACACCAGCTGCCCAAGCACCGTTCCCGCGAAAGTGATGGCGGCGACATTCTGACTGGCTGGAGAGTTTTTGTAGCTATCGGGGTAGATTTGGCCGAGGATGGTGTTGACTGGACCGATGACCTTGATTTCAAGTTAGCCGCAAGGATTCGAAGCAAAGAGAGCATGCGATCTGCCAAACCAGGCTCTAGAAGAAGTCGAACATACTCCATTAAGATAACCATCGGAAAACAAACCGGCACCGCAAGCGATGGTGGGCCAACTGCGCTCCCAACGACCCTTCTGTATTTTCTCCTGTCCACCTTCCAAGGGTACTGCGTCGAATGACTCAGGGCCTTTTTCAGGAGACGTCTCGGCGACCTTGTGTTCTGTTTTGGGGTCCATAATGCGACGTGATTTCTGGGTTACTTGGTGGTACCCTGTAGAGGTGGGGTTAACTTTTGGTGAAGGAACTCTCGCTCTCTTCAACTTGGTAACACAGAAATACGAGGCGGAGCGGAAAGGAGAACCGTAGAAGATAGAAATGGGACACGGTGACAGAAAGCCACGAAGGGGCAGAGAAGTCTTAAATTAAGAAAAATGGGAAAGAGAGAAAATTGGAGCGGGACAGCCTTGACCAGGTCCATGGTGGAAATCCTTCGAAGACAAACCGGATGGTAAGGTGACTCTCCGAGTACGATTCGAGCATAGTGCCATCCGAGAGGGACATTAAGTTGCATTTCCTTACAGAACTGTTATCTCTGCCTGCCAGAGACAACCCACGCTAAGCTTCGCCGGGGGCCTCGTTATTGGCCCAACTCGATGCTTGAGCTGGGGTGACCCGGCGCTGTCTCTCCGGCCCCCAATTTATGGTTACGACTTGGAAGGAAAAGGTTCACCGGTCCAGTTGGAGGTCCAGACAGCGTTGACTCTCGCCGCACGTGGTAGGCATGTCGAACGCACTCCACCACTTCAGAAGGATGTCGCATGCCCCGTAGACATGGACAACTCTTGGATTTCTCGATCAACTGCAGATGACGACCCGCCGTCCGTGGCTGATTGGTGCAAGGGCCTCCGTAGGGCGTCTGGCGGTCCCACCGGGTTTCCGCCTAAGGCTTAGCATCCACCTCGGCTGGGAGACAAAGCAGAGCACATCCTGTAGATTCATCTTCGCGTCAGGCTTGCCTTGACATTGACTGTCGCATCCGTCGAAATATATAAGTAATGTGGCCGAACATGTGTATAGAGCACTGATGTACTGGATACGTTCCGGTGAATGGTCAAGCAGGTGGCATGTCAATCTACCGCGAATGACGGGGAAATATATTTTCAGAAGACACGGGAAATTGCTTGATTGAAATCATAGAAGAATGGTTCTAGTCTGGCTATATAGTGCTCTGATCTCTGACTTAATGATGGCACAAGGCTGCAAGAGTATCCATGATAGATGAATAATTTCAATGGAGATGACAACAATAATGAAGTTTAGTTTAGTTTAGGAAGATGCTCATAATGTTCGAAGTCCCGGGCGGAAAGATGCCCGTCATGTGACCCGTACCCTCGGAGCGGACAAACGTTCGGCCAGCTGAGCTCGGGTCAGCTACGTAGGTTGGTTACTTGGTAATGTGATGGATCCTGCCTCATCAACAACTAACCCTTTTGCAACCTCCACCCTACCACTCCATCGCTCGCATCCCACCCATCACCTCTTTCGACTTCCACCTCTCGTATCGCACCTCCAGTCGCCAGCATGGGGTCCGATCCGCAGTACATAAAGCACCCTGACCTCGTCCTCGCCCAACATGTCTTCAACCTGTCCAACCCGTCGTGCACCCAGACGGTGCAGCAGGCATCGCTGAAGAAGGTCCAGAGCGTCATCTCCGAGAACAAGATGGCCCCGTTCTACCGACACCTCGCACACCCTGTCGAAGGAATTCTGAACCACACCGGGGAAGGCGTCCCTCAGCACCAGGGCGGCTCCGCCAAGACCTTGATTACGTCGAATCTGCTGGCATCTCGGAAGTCGCCGCAGAAGATCGAGTTCCCCTGGGATGAGGCTCTATATCAATCGCTAGTTGAGGATAACCGGAAAGAGTTGGAGACCCTCCAGAAGGAGGAAGACGACGCGGAGGAGGCCGCCGGTGAGACGGAGGTTCTGGCCGCGAGGGGGAAACGTGCTGAGTTCTGGGCGAAGGTGGGCGACAAGGTGAGTGTTCTGAAGGACCCGTCGCTCTAATCTAGGCTCAGTAGCAATCTAACTGGAATTACGCTTGTATAGGACAAAGCGATCGAATCCCACGAGGCCCTTCTGGAGAAGACGACGTTTTTGGGAACGAAGATCGACCTGGTGATGGCGATGATCCGGATCGGATTGTTCTTCGGCGACTCTCTGTTTGTCAAGAAGAGCATCGAGCGGGCGGAAACCTTGGTCGAGAGCGGCGGGGATTGGGACCGAAGGAATCGTCTGAAGGCCTACAAGGGACTGCACCTGCTTACCATCCGTTCCTACAGCCTGGCTGCCCCTCTCCTTCTCGACAGTCTGTCTACTTTCACGAGTTACGAACTGTGCAGCTATTCCGCCCTAGTCATCTACTCTGTCCTCGCTGGATCGCTATCGCTGAAGCGAGTTGACTTCAAGGCCAAGGTCGTGGACGCGCCAGAGATCAGGGCCATCCTGGGATCCGGGGAAGATCGGCTCGCCGCTCTGACCGGTGAGGTGTCTTCCGGACCCGGAGACGAGGATATGAAAGATGCATCCACTGCCAGCAGCACGCCGGGTGCCGCTACGACCGCCGTCAACCTGACCATGTTCGCCACCGGTTCTGGCATCCAGGCCGAAGCCGAAACCCCGGTGGACTTCACATCCCTCGCCGATTTGGTCAACAGCCTGTACAACGGCAACTACCGCACATTCTTCGTCGCCTTGGCGGCCGTGGAAGACAAGTTCCTGACCCAAGATCGATACCTGCACGAACACCGTGCGTGGTTTGTCCGCGAGATGAGACTGCGCGCCTACCAGCAGCTGCTCCAGAGCTACCGAGTTGTGGGACTGACCAGCATGGCCAATGACTTCGGCGTGACGGTAGACTTCTTGGACCGGTGAGTTCTACGTCCCCCACAAGGTTGATTTACAATGACCGATCTAACTCAAATATGTAGGGACCTGGCCAAGTTTATCGCCAGCAACCGCATCTCCTGCACCATCGACCGGGTCAACGGCATCATCGAGACGAACCGACCAGACGACAAGAACAAGCAGTATGCCGATGTGGTCAAGCACGGTGATGCTCTGATCACGAAGCTCCAGAAGTACGGTCAGACCGTGCGCCTGAGGGGAAGCGAACGGAGCTAGAGAGACGGACAAGAGATATGAGCGAGATGAATTGATACGGGTGCCGTTCCCTCACTCGGTCTCTCCGGAGAGCCGTGACGGATGAAGCCTAGGGTTATTTATTTGTTCTTTGTGATCGTTATTAGAGCAAAAAAGCAAGTGAGGCTGCTGTATCATACAATTAATGACAGAAGACAACATGACCTCGAATCGCCTGATCGCATGTGATTGGATTTGACCGTAGAGTGGGCCGAAACCAAGCGTCCGAGCATCTTGCATCTTCCATCTGGGATCCACGCGATCTGAGGGATTATTCATAGAGTCGTATTGGTGGTGGAACCATGATCTTTAGCAGTTGGTAGAGAGTAGATCTTTTACCTAAGATCTCGTATCCGGAGAGCATGCAGCATGGAGCATGAAGTCATAGCCCAGGGAGGTCGAGGAGAGCAAGCAGGAGTCACGGGGAGGCAGCCGACGTCGGGCGGCGCCGGAAGCCTCTTCGTGGGGAAGAAAGCGGAGGCGTTCGCTGAGTTTGGCGTGGCCTGGTTCGGGGAGCCACGAAGGCTGTCGGCGTTCCTGCAGTCAATTCGACCATAGGAGGAGTCAACGAGGGCATCAGTATTGCTGTGGAGAGGAATATTGAGTGACAACACTCCATCTATGCAGTATGTGTGTATCTCTGAAGTAGAACAATGTCTTATCGCATCCACCGATACCTGGCGATGACTCAGCGCGGGATTCACCGCCCGCCCAAAGGGAACTCGTGTGTTTTCCGCCTTTACCTTTTTTTTTTTTTTTGTTTTATTTCTTCTTTCTGTGTGAAGACAATTCCAATTATCTCCTTGCGTCCTTCTCTTACTGTGGCTACGAGTCGACGGCAGGTTTCTCAGTGTCAATTTCCCCCTGAATCTCCCCACGTCTGGCCACCAACCCCTCCCACGAAAGGTGGAGTAAGGAAGGAAATCGCGCAAGTAATTGGCTGTCTCGACCAAGTCCTAGGGGCATCATAAGGATAAGGAAAGTGACAAGATGAGCTGGCAGTATAAGCTCGCGGCGCACGTGCGGGCCTCTCCGCTACGATGCTCGATTTCCCGGCCGAATGGCGCTGACCTGATGCGCCGTCAGCACATCCCGCGGGCCTTCTGCTCGTTTCCCGCCGGGGCTTCTAGTTCCAAGTCCCTTTCAGGTACGTCAAGTGTTTCGGGAAATCGCCCGGTTGGGTCCCGATCGCCTGCCAGCGTTGCACCATTGGATCCCCGTTTAATGCCGCTGCGCTTTCTCGGCCGTCATACGCCCACGCCATTCCCCTCTCTCTCGTGACATCCCCCGGGCCCGTTCCCGCATCCTGTTGTCTTTTACCCACTCGAGAGGGGGGATGTGACTTCCTCACTCCAGTACAAAACGTGGCGGTCCCTCCACTGGTCCCATTCTCGAATGATTCACCTATACTAACCAATCTCTCTTCCTCCGACTACAGTTCCCACCATGTCGGCTCAGACGACCGTCTCCTACACTACCAAGCGCACCTTGTGTGCTCAGGCTACTCGCTGCCTGAACCCCGATAACATCAACCCCCACGTCAAGGAAGCCAAGTATGCCGTCCGTGGTGAGCTTGCCGTCAAGGCGGAGGAATACCGGGTGAAGTTGGCCCAGGGAGACAAGTCGTTGCCCTTCGACAGCGTTATCTTCGCCAACATCGGCAACCCGCAACAACTCGACCAAAAGCCCATCACCTTCTTCCGTCAAGTCCTCAGTCTGCTCGAGAACCCCCTGTTGCTGGACAACCCCGAGGCCCTCCATACATCCTTCGGATACGAACAGGACGTCATCGACCGCGCCAAGGTCCTTCTTGCCGACGTGCAGAGCGTGGGAGCGTACAGTCACAGCCAGGGTGCCCCGGTCATCCGGAACAGCGTCGCCAAGTTCATCGAGGAGCGTGACGGATTCCCTGCCAACCCCTCGGACCTTTTCCTCTGCGCCGGTGCTTCGTCGGGTGTCAGCACCATCCTCAACGTTATCTGCAACGGACCCCAGGCCGGTGTTCTCGTTCCCATCCCTCAATACCCCCTTTACACCGCCACTCTTTCCCTTCTCAATGCGCAGTGCGTTCCCTACCTCCTGGAAGAGGAGAAGGCCTGGGGTACCGACGTGAATGCCATCCGGACATCCTTGGAGAAGGCCAAGAGCAATGGCACGGACGTCCGCTCCATCGTGGTCATTAACCCTGGCAACCCCACCGGTGCATCTCTGGGTGCGGATGACATCAAGAGCGTGCTTGACGTCGCCGCTGAGGAGAAGCTGGTGGTGATCGCCGATGAGGTCTACCAGACCAACGTCTTCGAAGGTGAATTCATCTCGTTCAAGAAGAAGTTGCGCCAGCTGCAGCAGGAGCAGCCCGGCAAGTACGACAACGTGGAGCTGGTCTCCCTGCACAGTGTGTCCAAGGGTATGGTTGGCGAGTGTGGCCACCGTGGTGGTTACTTCGAACTGGTTGGATTTGACCCCGAGGTCGCCGCCCAGATTTACAAGCTCGTCAGTATCGGGCTGTGCCCGCCCGTCATCGGACAGTGTCTGTTGGAGATGATGGTCAACCCGCCTAAGGAGGGCTCTCCCAGCCACGCGGTATACCAGAAGGAATACAACGGCATCCGGGATGGTCTGCACAAGCGCGCCTTGGCCCTGTACAACGCCTTCCAAAAGATGGAGGGTGTGGAGTGCCAGAAGCCCCAGGTATGTTATATTTGAATCTACTCCGCGGTTCATGTCAGTTGCTAACATCGACCTTTCACTCAGGGTGCTATGTACCTCTTCCCTACGATTACGCTGCCCCCCAAGGCCGTCGAGGCCGCCGCCGAGGAGAAGCGCGCTGCTGACGAGTTCTACTGCCTGCGCCTCCTGGACGCCACGGGTGTCTGCGTCGTTCCGGGCTCCGGCTTCGGACAGAAGGAGAACACGCTGCACTTCCGCACGACTTTCTTGGCTCCCGGTACCGACTGGGTTGAGCGGATCGTGAAGTTCCACGCCGAATTCATGGCCAAATACAAATAAACTGCTATTTGGACACAGAAAAAGAATCAAACCGAATCTCACGAATTACATTTATAGACTTATATATAGCTTCACATCTTGTTGACTATTTATTGGAATACAGGGGTTTAATACAGTGTTTCAGATTTACCACCATTACCATTCATATACGCAATAGGCTAAGCCTAGCGATCGGCCAGATGAGGATGAAATAACCTCATGCTAGGAATATACTTAGCTACCAGGCTAGAAGGTCTCTACGCTAGTGGATCTTATCAATCAATTCTGCTTACACCGTAGGGCTCTAGCGTTTCATCCCCATGTTGCCGGATTCGCCACAATTTGCCTCATTCGCTTATTCTCCTGCATGGAATTATGAAGATCCCCAAGTGCATACCTAGTACCTACCTTATTTTACATGCAATATCTGCACAGCTCACTAGCTACAAATGTCTCCACGGGTTCTCAAGTAGGCAATCAAATCTCATATTAATCATGCCATACCATATACTCTTATTCTACTAGTATCAATGCGTGTCCTCAGCACGACAAGGGGTCTCCCTTCGTTGATTCCATGAGACACTTGCCTATGTCTTATGTATCAACATTTAGTACAACGAAGTGGTCTATCTGATCTTCCTCAGGCCAACAGGTAGTAGTATGTGTTCGGTAAATGGGGGTTTCAAGGACCCCAGATAGGTGGTTCTTTTGAGGGTGTTTCCCTCTGTCTTCATTTCTCTGCTTTCATTGAAGAAAATACAGAGTAGATTATTGAACATAACTACTTTTACTATACCTAGCTTTCACTATCGCACAGGGAACGGCGAGTACCTAGGCGCGTCGAAATCCATGCTTACGATACCTCTTCATTAGAGAGTGCAGGAGTGAACGAGCCATCAAGGCCAGAATATAAATACGCGGGTTGAGCTCGATGGCAAAAGGCGCTTACCGGCTTCTACTGGTATAGGTTCCTCATACTAGACCTGCATGACGCTTTCTAGTTTTGGATAGCTTGATGCACTGTATGAGCTTAGTTCCAGACGGGGCTGGACTGAACGATTAGAGCCGTGGATGGGCGGTGCTTGCATCTGTGGGTGTTTTTTTCTCTCTTTAAATATGTATGAGGAACTCATAGATGGCTTGTTTAGCCGTTCGTGCATTGTAGCTTCCTGGGTGTTTAGTTGATAGAGGCGATGGGTCACTGAAATGATCCGATCAAGATTGGCACTAAATGTAATGTTGAACTGTGGTCTGGTTAGCTTCGCTTGATTGTATTGACATATTATGCGATGTTGAGTGCCGAGGCTGATTCATTGGTGTTGGCCGTTGGCTATTATTCCCTTCATCGCAATTTCTTCCATTTTGAGTGGGTCGGAAGTATTTCATGTCGACAAAAAGCGGTTGAGATAGCAGGACTGGACATTGCAGAAGACATGAAATAAACTCGTCCTGTCTTGAAGCTGTACCCAACTCCTTCGCATCTTCTGTAACTACGATGTCAGTACGGCTCACAATATCAGCTGCAGCCACCCAAATCAAAGACGGTCATCCGGTCAGTCACCCGCACACTCCTAGACCGGTCAGTTGCACTACTTCGTAAGCACACCGTAGTGCCCCTCCGGTCAAATTCCTATCTAGAGTTCGGTAGCCTTAAGTTAGAGGGTTATCCACCGCGGCCCGAACACACCGCGACGGACCAATCCCCCCAGCTGGAGAAAGTCTCAGTGCGAATGGGCTCCTAGACCAAGACCAACCCCCAAGGCCGGCGCCATCTAGCGCCAGTCCGCGGCTAGCGAAGTGGGACTGTCTGGGGGATTGGAGGTGGGAGAGTAGAAAATTGGAGGCCGATCCACTTCGCGTTCACCGTTCAGGTTTTTCGACTGCCGCGGGTCGAGACTAGACGCTGGGGTGGGATCGGAGTGTCGAATTTCGTGAGGCGGCTGACAAGGGGGAAGGGAACAGTCAAGCCGTTGACGTTGGTCTGGGAGATCCGT